ATACGCTAAAACTTTGTAAATCGTCCTCTTTTCAATTGTAAACTTTATTCCAGTGTTACGCTAAATACATGTACTAAATACTAAACAAGCGCGCATATCGTATTCATTTACAGCATCGGATTTTAAAACAATGACTCGTGGAATCACAAAGAAACTGTTAAGTACGTATTTCACACATTACCGAGGACCGCGGTAGAGACCGGTACAGCGGTAGAGACCCCTAATTATAAGCAGTCCGCGGCTCTCCCCGGCGTTCTGCGGTACACCGCGGTAATGACCGCGGTGCACCGCCTGTTTGATTTCCTACTCTTCCCTTACTGTGAATATATACGTTTTAGAAGTTGATGGTACGAATAATAAATTACGACAATACTCTAAATAATTACGTGGTTGATTTTTTTTTGAAGGAGAATGTATTTAGAGTAAATAAGATCGGGAACATATTCCTGGCTGAAACGTTTCAAATGAGTTTTATTTAACTTTTTACAATAGACATTAATATTGCAACAATTATTTGTTTGTTTTTAGTCTGCAGCATTCGCACTTCGAATATATTTAATTTTTAAATTCAAACTCTTCTAAACTGTGAAACATAATGTCTTAATTCCAAAAATATTTGGACTGCGACCGAACTCATTAATATTCATTGCTTATTAATATTCATATAGCTCATTAATATTCATGACCGACCGGCACTTGCGTTGTGCTGGCGAGATCCCTGAGTTGATGAACAAGTCTCTGCCGAATATGCATGTAAAAGTGGGTCTTTTTCATGATTTTTATCCAAAATTACCACTCAACACCACTGACAGAACAACTGGCCATGCTCAGAATAAATAATTAGCTTAGATTGTAATGCTAGGGTTTTTAGTGATGTCTTTGATCTGAATCAGTGACAGATGGGTTGTACCATTACCATGGGAGTTATAGTGATGATACTGAAACAAACCCAGGTCCAGGTAATGTCTAAAGACCTGAATTAACAAACAAGTTTTTATTAAAGGTACATCAGGTTTACTCAGATTCATGAATACAGTTTCTTGAGTGCATGTATGAGATATAGTTTGGTTGCACTGAATGAAAGTTTTCAGTTATCAGTACAATACTAGATTAAGAGAAATCACTTTATGATGAGTTGTACCCACATAGTACATATTAATTCAACTGTTGCAGATGTATTTTATAATTAAATAACTGGGACTGTGACATTCATGTCTTGTTAGATTTTGTTTAGGGACTGTTACACAAGATTTCAAGAAATGAATTTGAGGGGAATGCGTACTAAATGCTTGCAGGTGTTCTGTACATGTTTAGCAACCATTTTGAACACTTTTAAATTATTGTATGAGATTCATGTATGGAGATCTGCTTTTGTTATAACTTTATTACTGTAAAATCAATACACAGGACTTTGACCCGGAAACTTGGGCGAGTAAGATTTAATAAATTTTTGTGCACATGTTATCCATCAGCTAAGGAGACAAAGAAGAAAACTGGAAAACAGCGAATGAAGGAACTTAATAAAAGCACAGAAGATGGTGATATCATGGCTGCCTTCAAAGACAAAGATGAGGTATTAATGTACTATAAATCAGCATTACATTTTATGAAGATACAATCCTTTATTGCAAATACAAATAGATCCAAAATTTGTTTAATACTAATGAATTGCGAATTATAACATTACAGCAAGTCTCAGAAGTATTGGGGCAGCCAATTTGCAAACTCGCTAGCGAATTGGCTATCTGCTTGGGTTTTGACTAAAACGTTGGCTTACGAATCTCACTGGCGTCAACTCGTGGTGTGTCTGAGTTGCATTAGGGACATGCTTTTACGTAGCCTGGTAGGTACATGTCTAGATTCCCCTGAATGATTTACTTTATTACGAGGCGTGATAATGTAAAAGTAGTTAACCTGGTAAGCCTGAGAATGGCCACAGTCAGCTGGCGTAAAGCGATATGATAAATGCGATTAATCCGCCGCTATTTACTATATGGGCTTGAAACTAAATAAACACATTGATAAACATTTCTACAAATCGGGAAGAAAATGACAAACTTTCACATCTAAATGACCCGTCGGTGTAACATTAGCCAACAGCTAAAAAAAATCGACCTCATTACACATAGAACACTTTCCCTGGTATATTTGAAAGCGAAATCGTCATCCAACTGTGGCTGATTAGCTCCTAAAGTATGACGGCCGTCCCCTGCTGTTATATATAGTCAAAACCCAAACAGTTAACCAATTCGCTAGCAAGTTTGCAAATTGGCTGCCCCAATACTTCTGAGACTTGCTGTAATCTTTTCTTCCTCCCCTCCTTCCTTTACACAGGTGTATTGGATTTGAGAAAAGTCTGGATGTAATATCATGGCTTTGCGTTATATTTTCTTGCCATAGAGCCATAATATTACTGTGGGGGATTCTTTGTTTAAATATGGTTCATCGTCTTGATTATTAAGCATTTTTTAGATATGCCTGGTGAATGAGTGGAAGATGTGCTTTAACACTGAATTTGCTCTATCATGTATTGGTTATTATGTAGCAATATTAGGTTTTCCGTTATTTCCTAGTGTGATTGGTACAATAGACACAATATGTTAGGGCGTGGTATAATACAATGGGTATTGTCATGAAATAGCCTTAACTACCCTGGTTACAATCAATGCTTTCTAACACACAACCTCAAATATAAGGTTGCTCAGTGTTCTCCACAATCCAAAATAGCTGGTAGGCGGCCTAATTAGCAAAATTTGCATATTAATTTGCATACAGCATTCTAGCATTTATGTCATGAACTGCAATACACATTAAGTTATTTACTATTCTCTTTTTAATTTAATTGAAGCATGTTACAGTTTTTTGAAATACAAACAGATTGGTCACTATCAATATTTACGAAATGCTAAAAGTTTGAAATCGATGATTTATACGTTCGCAAATTATTCTGCGTTCATGAAATGCAATTCGAGTAACCAAGAGCAAGTACAAAACATAACTGAGTTATAATGTAGAAAATATACGAGGTGATTTGTCCCCGAAGCCAAAATGGACGATTTGTCAAAACAAAAAACCCATAACATTTTTATTTGTGGCATGCTAACGAAAACATTGTTTGTTTTCCCACTGACTTCCTGTTCCGGTCCGTCCGTCAGTAAGAAACAGTACTCGCCCGTGCCGACAGACGGTAAGATGCATTTACGCATGTACGGTCCACAGGCGCCTGTGGTACGGTCACGATACGTTGCGTTTTCATACGTTGTTTTGGAATTCAAGAAAAAAATGCTAGCAATCGGCAAAATAACAGAATCTGTTACGTTCTCGAAAGATTAGACATAAAAATGGATAAATTGAAAAGTATGTGGATAAGATAACTAAAATATTAATCAATTACAAATACTCGCGTTAAACTAATCCGGCAGCCATGTTTGATGTTTATTACCGCTTTCCGAATTCAGTACACGAACACCCAGAATGCGCTGTTCCCCTATGCAACTTAGATACTAAATCGTTACAGCGCCAACAGCGGTGGGTGGCCGGCGGTCGTTGAATGGGGTAGGCCAAAAGGTCACTAGTTTGCCTTCTCCATGCTGTTTTCAAAATAAGTGGCAACAATGTCGGGCGACAACACATTCAGGTGATTGACACATTGCCATGAATACACTTGATAACTGCTAGGTCTAGGTTGTTTCGACTTTTACGTTAATGTTATTTACAAGCGTATCAACATACAAACATTATGGATGTGCGATTGATCGAGACAGGCATTTTGTTTAACTGTCTAATAAATGCTGTTTCCAGTACTGCACTGTGCGGCGTGCAAATTATTCAAAGTATAGATGCTGGAGTATGCAATCTTGAGTTCGTAGGGTGATGGTGGAAACATTTTCATCCATGTATTCACGGGGCTGCACTGGCAAAACATGGGACAAGTGTCACAGGAACACTAAGCAGATTGTTCACAGACTTCCGTGTAATTTGAAATAAAACTATCATCCGAACAAGGGGCATCGTCGACGATATACTCTCATCACTCACACTGGACTGATCTGAATCTTCACAGTACACCGTACTTCCCTGATCATAAGCCCGGAGGCATGAACATGCAAGGGAAAAGTAAGGGATGAGCTTGTACTCGAGGACCAACTCAGAAAAAATGATTTTGTTTTGGGGTTAAACATTGTAACCATCTTGCAAACAACGAAAAATTATCCAAAAAAGTTATTCGTTCACCACGCCGGGCTCGGGAAAATAATACTTATTTTTTTGAAAATGATTCATTGATTTGAACGACACTTACAATGAAGAAACAAACATGTTCATAAAAACACACACATTTTATTACAATACGATTTACATACCGTGTGAATTTACGGTGAAATAACGGGTAGGGTCTGTGAAGAAACAGTGGACGAAGGCACTTATCATTATCTTCGTTTTGGTATGTTTTGGATCGTACACAAACTCTCGACACAAAGCAATTTTCCACCATGAGGTTTTTCAGCACGATTTGACCTGGAACAACTTCCTTTGACATAACAGGTCATGTATTTCATTAACCAATCAAAATGATGTGTCGTAATGATGACATTTTCCGATTATTGACGATGATTTTTTAACGCAATGCGGAAGTGAATTACCGCAATGTTAAAATGCGATCTTTAGTACTGATTGCAATGAAAAAACGATGATTTTTCCCTAAAAACTGGCGGTTCGCAATTTCCGAAATATAAATGACGGTTAATAGTAACCGTGGGTAAACTGAGTGTGGAGGAAGAATTTAAACACCTTTCTCGGTCGCCAACATGTCACACCGTTCTCAAAGTAAACCATGCCCAATAACCAGGTACACGACTTAACGATCACATTTTTGGCTTTTCGAAAGCTACTACTCAAAGAAATATAGGAATGGGCTTCATACTTCAGAGGGACTTACGATCGGGGTACGGTACTTTAACGCAATTGGGCTTTCACTCTCAGAATACTGTGTTTCAAACGCATAAGGCTCTAACCCAAGTTTTAAAAAGCACATTGTGCATATAAAAGTTGAGTTTATACTAATAGTACACAATGCTTGGCAGCATGAACGGCTATGTACAATGGCGTATACGAATGCGATCAGATACTAAAACGTCATAGCTTTGAAAAGTACCCGGATGTTAAATATGTTCGTTCGTTATTTATTCCCCTCCATGAATGGCCTCCATGGTGTTTAATTGAAAGCACTTCAAATGCCTATCCAAGCTACAGTTATAATTAAAACAAAATTAAACCACTGCAATATTATTTCAAATACAGTTTAGAATATACACAACTATAAATTAAGGCTGCATTTAGGTTCGCTTTAAGCTTGGGAAGAACAATGCAAGCTTTTTACAAATAATTTCAGCTGGATGTACGTTGGTGGGCGGGTGTTGAGTTACTAGACGGCCATAAAACCCCTTGTGGAGAACACTGTTGCTTATTCTCAGCCTAACCCACCAATGCTGTAATAATATTCCGATGGAAGGTTTTTTTTTAGATAGCACTTTACTGTCAATTCAATGACGACCGTAGTAGCAAGTTGTGCCTAATCTACTTAACCCCTTATCCTGCCAGCTTCTTGTACTTTTGCTAAGATAAGGGTTAAATAAACTATTCAACAAATGAACAAATTACTGTCGATTGGGGAAATATTCACTGGAGTTAATTTTAGCAGATTTTATGCTATTTTGTGAAAGTAAAAGTAAAGGATGAATAAGTAATGAGAAATCAAATTATAGAACTGGTATAATAACTGACATTAATATCTCGTACAACTTCACACATTTTCTGAAACAGGTAGTTGTCAATGTTAGATGCACGTAACAAGTTGTAATTGTGTCTATTTCCATTGCGTAGCAAACTAATGCAGAGATTTCCTTTCGCTGTTTTATTCTTAGACGATTCGTTGCCATTGTGTTTCTGAAACCCTTATCTTTCACATATTAGTTCTGCATGAAGATGTTCCTTTGTATGATTTCTTTGTTTTCTTTGTATGGATTAAACAAAGTTCAGATTACCAGTAATTAGACAATATTGTGTATATATCATCAGTAACGTGTACCAACAATTTGGAATGAATGACACTGCACTTCTGACAAGTCATTAACTCAGGTTAACACCATATGCTTCTTGCTTGCAATACAATTCAATGTTAACGTTAAATGAGCTTAATATCACTTTGCTTTTTTTGGTGAAACATTTGTAACTGTTGGTCGCAAAACTGACATAAAATGAAAATGTGTTGTGCACGGTCAATTACATAACAAACGATTCATGCCAAAATCATTTTGGTGGTTTTCTCTGCTGCAGCCGAATACTGCAATGTATTGGTGATTTAGTCACAGTATGATAGTACGGTTGAATACGATGAGTACTGTAATACAATTGCTATGACATAATTCAAATGGTTACGGCTGAATTTGGTAACCTACAATATGATACTAGTAGGGTCGTATTAAGTTTTGCGGTCTTGACTACTTTTTAGCTCCGCTGTCGACTTGTCGAGCGGAGCTTATCATATGAGTGATTGTCCGTGTCAATGATTTACTTTTTCGACTTCTTCTTGAAAACTACAAGCCTGAATGCTTTGATACTTGGTGTATATGTACCTTGGGAAGACCTCTCTTAGGTTTGTTCATTTCATGTTGATATCTTCAATTTTCTAATTTTGGTGAATATTTTTGGTAAAAAGTGATATTTTCGACTTCTTGTTAAAAACCGCAATTGCTTTGATATTACATATATAGGTACTACATGTGGACCTCTCTCAGATTTGTTCATTTTGTAATGATATCTTCAATTCTCTAATTTTGGTGAATATTTTTGTAATTTTTGGTAAAAAGTGATATTTTCGACTTCTTGTTAAAAACTGTAAGTTCGATTGCTTTGATACTATTCATATTGTTCATTTTCTAATGATGTCTTCAGTTTTTTAATTGAAATGTGCATTGCTAACAGCGGAGCTATCTCAGCCGATAGGCTGCTTGTTTAATGTAGCAGTATTTTATCTAAATGATTCCAAATGAGTTGAATACATTTTTGAAGTGATGGTACCAACTGTGTCATTTATTTCATAGCCATCATGTCCCACTGAAAATGAAACCAAGAATGAAAATGAGAAAGAAATCAAAGAAAAAGAGGTCTCCTCTGTGGAAATCACAACACAGAAATCAAATGAAGAGAAAAAGAATGAAGAAAATGAACAGAAATCCAAAGTGGATGAGAAAGTGAACAATATCACAGATTCTAAAGATGACCCTGTTGAACTGAAATATAAATATAGGGAAGGTATGTTACTTTATCTTTCTCATCAAATTATGATTTGCTAATTTAAATTTTGGCTGCGACTAGGTTTTAGTCCCTGGTCTTAAATGGTTTGAAAAAAAGGGACTTGTAATTTAATGTTCATCTGCTTCTGTATCTGACTTTCCTCGGTCGATCATTCAAACTTGACACGTTCATCACACATCGTATCATACATAAGCACATGCATTTGCTTCATTATTCGATTCAAGACGACTGATTGGTAGCAGAATTGCATGTTGGACATGTTTCATTCATTCAACATGTGCACATTTTTTTCTCCCAGATTTGATTAAAATGGCTGATGGCCATATTGTTTTTTTAGCAAATGCTGTTTTCGGAGCATATTGCTAACATCAAAATTTGACACATACATTGGGTAACACATTTACACATGCATCTGTTTCAGAATCTGATTCAAGATGGCTTATGATCATTGCCGTGATAGAAATGTATTATAAATGTCATAGGCAGAATAAAGGATTCACACAAATAAATTGGCTCCACTTTGTATTATATTTGTCACACGAGTTTAAATAATCATTTGGCACTAATGTTGACAATCACTAAAAACTCTGCATATTGGGTTATATCCTGTCAGTCTCTGGTTTTCATGAATAATTGCCACCTTGCAAAATTAATATAGAAGATTGCTCTGTGAGAGTGATCGCATGTGTTTATTGTATATTTGCTTGGGAGCAGCAGCAATTCAATTCCATATACGTCTTCTCAAGTCTGCAATATCTGAGAGGTTTAATGACAGGTTGTGTTCTGTTTTCAGACCAGTGGAGTCCGCTTAATAAAGAGGGCAAACGACAATATGATAGGGACTTTTTACTGCAGTTTAGATTTGAGCATACAGCTGTTGAAAAACCTGAAGGGCTTCCAAAAATAGCTGATGTCATTTTAGATACGGTGAGTACAGCATTTCAGAAACTAACTTCAGTCATGACTAAAAGAAAACACTTGAGATTACAGAGTACATTCACTTGGTCATACTGGTCATAATTTATAGTGTTTCCTTCCTTACACAGTGGTTCAGTATCTGCAGTGAGACTATTAAAAAACAGACTATCACTGTATTCCTAGGTTAATGTCCTGAGTGTAAATTTCAAAGACTTCCTAGATGTGAATAAGCATTCTGGCATCAGAAAACCAAAATTTACAATATTGGGTATTATCATTTTCTGTGCTTTAGACAGTGAACATACAAAATAATTACTAAAGTGGACTTCAGATACACTAAATGTTGCTTTCTAAAGCAAGTCATACCATCGCCTTTCACTCGTCTAAATCAAGACCTAGAAGAATTTTTGACAGATTTAAATTTCAAAGCTGGCCCACTCGTCGGGGATTGTGTAGCAAGTCCTGATAAGATAATGAACTGGAACTTTCAATATATTTAGGTAGTAGGGGGGTCTCTAATATTGGGGATCTGGGAAGCATAATATGGGGTTAATGTAATTCCTGTCACTAGCATTACTGTATTTGGGAGTTATTTTTTGCTTCCAGGCTTTTATCAAAAGGCAAGAATGATTCAAATTTGGCAGAATCAGCATTGGTTGATGGGATTTAAAATCTTTGAGTGCCAAAGTTAACTTTAGTCACCATTCATATATTTTCACAATAGACAATTTTCCCCATCTATACTGAGAACATGCATTATTCATGAAATTGAACATAAGTTGGTCATTTCCACTTTCAAAATCAAATCGTTGATTACTGTGGCAGACGTTTGAGCCATGACGTACATGCATTACGCGAGGTCTCGCAGTGATTGGAAAATAATCATTTTTTTGTAAATTTGCCAATGAATATTAATGTGAACTTAGTTTTGAACCATTATTATACATGCAGGGGAAGAAATAAAAGTGTAAATGGCTGATCGTTGTTGTGTTGATGACTTTTTCTAAATATTGTTTTGTATTAAATAGGCTATGACAAGACCAAGTGTAAATACACTAGATTCAAGCATGATGAATGCTCCCAAAACAATGGATCTTTTACTCCCCAATTACATTATGAAATCAGCCAGACAGGGAGGAGGACCTTCTCCAAGTAATACTCGTCGCAGAGATTCCCGTAAAGAGCAGAGGAAGATCATTCCAAGTGCGTCGTCAGGGCGTCATGATGTGCAGCTTAAGAAAGCAGAGAATGCATGGAAACCAGGTCATAAGGCAGGTGATGACAAAGAACTCCCACAAACTATGGTAAGTGTTTTTGCTACACAATTGTAAAGGGATGCTTTGGGATAACTTGCAAACATAATCTCACCTGAATGTCTTACTCATGGCTATGTTTACAACTGCTGTATTTCAGGAACTCTACAGGAAAGTTACAAGTATTCTTAATAAGCTAACTCCACAGAAGTTTCAGACGCTCACACAGCAGGTCTTAGATCTACCCATTGATACTGAAGAGAAGCTCAAAGTGGTGATTGATCTTGTATTTGAAAAAGCACTTGGTGAACCATCTTTCAGTGTTGCCTATGCAAATATGTGTCGCTGCCTTATGTCAGTAAGTTTTCACATTACATTAGTCATGTCTTGTAGCACTACAGCAATTTGGCCTCTTTAGCCATTTGAACCTCGGCCTTTTTTTGTTGTCTTTCACAAAGTTAAAACTTTCCAAAAATGTAGCTTGTCGACCTGGTCCAAAATTATACTTATAAAAAAAAATGCATATACATGTTGCAGAACATTTTTGTTACATACAATCTTGGCTTGAAGTGGTTAATATATAACAAGCTTGAAAATATATATGCCCCGAAATATACTGCGCCCAGGGGCCTGAACATACAAAATCAGGGAAAAAATAGGGATGGGACCACCCCAAAAAAGATTTTAAGAAGTTGTTTTTGTTATCGTATGATAAGGTCAAATAAAGGAATGCTTTCGTACACTTTGTACACATACTTATTTCTTGATTTATGCGAGGTTTCAATAAACGTGAGCACTCCGTCTGTGGGACTGTGGGAACACTGACACGGGGTCGAATTTCAAGAATAAAACTTGTTTTATGTCAGTGAATGAAGTTGTATTACTCACTGAAATTGGCTACAAAGTATGGTAATTATTAAATCAATGCACGGTTACTTTTTTAGTAACCGTGATCAGTGCATGCAAGTCGAAACGGCCGGGAAAAACTACCGCTTGTAATCTAAGATGGCGATGACCTCATTAGCATAATTTTGTTCATGCACGTATTGATACATCGCATCGTAATTGCTGAAGAATAGCAGACAGGGTTATGAAACAAATAAACCTTTTATCACTGACGTGAAATGTTTACAAACTATTGTGAATACATAAACATATCCAAATGGCAATACAGGGCTTGAAATTTTTTATGAAAACCCACTAGCCCAGGACGGGTCACTAAGATAATCAACTAGCCCTGCCCAAGAAATCACTAGCCCTCAATATTATTGTCATCAATTTTTATTATTATGACACAGTGTACATACAGTATTGTATTTTTTAATGTGCATTTGGTATTTACTTATGAATCTAACTTTGAAGAACTGTCCAATAATATGTTATCAATTTGATCATCCGTATTTACTTTATTTTTTAATTTATGTCCACAAATGTGTCTCTTGCGAATACTGCTCTCTAGCCATTGGGTTATGCTACTATC